ACAGACCACAACAGGTACCCACGAGGTTGAGGAGAAACCAGAACCCTCATCCATGGCTGGTGGGAATGTAGTTTGGTGCACCCACTGTGAGAAACAGTTGGATGGTTTCTCAAAAAGTTGAATAGAACTACCACATGACCCACCAATCCCAGTCCTAAGTGTATACCCAGAAAATGTGAAGGCTGGCACACAAACAGAAACCTTATGCCAAGGTTCACTGCAGCACTTTTCACAATAGCCAAACTGTGAAACACAAATGTCCCCCATCAAGAGATGAATGGATAAACAAAATGTGGTGTGTATAAATACAATGGAACATTACACAGACATAAAGAGAAACGAATTTCTGACGTATGCCACAACATGAACTTTGAAAACATGATGCTGAGTGAAATAAATCAGTTGCAGGACTACTGTAATCTCACTTATAGGAAATAAACAAATAGATAGACACCAATATTATTAGTGGTTACCAGAGAGAGCAAGAAGGGGTAAGGGGAGTTTCTGTCTGAGGGACACTGAGTTTATGTTAACGGTGGTGAAATATTTTGGAGAAGGATAGTGATAAAGTTGGCATAACATGAAAAATATAATCAATGTCACTGAGTTGTAAATGTAAAAAGCTGTACTGGTGAATGTTTTGGTCTGTATATTTTCACTAGTTTTTTTAAAAACTAAAAAGAAATTACTATTTATAGTAGCATTACTCATGATTGCAAAGTACTAAAAAACTAAGACAGGGGAGCCCCCAAAGGCTGGGTGCTACTCATGTTTATGTAGAGCCCAGTAAGCAGTGCCTAATTGGGAGGTTTTGAAGGAGACCAAGGGGAGCTTTCCAGGGAGACATTTCAGGGATTCTAAGTACATGTGAACCCTAGATTCAGCTGTGCCCTGTGGACCTTCTGTTGGCAGCTCCCTTCCATTCTTCAGGGCTCCACTGCTTTGGGTACCAAAGTCTTTAATGTGTGTTAGGACTGGAAAACCAGGAAAAGCAGTATCCCAGACCAAGCAAGCTACCCAGCAGAGTACAATGTCTCAAACTTGCCTGATCATTCCCATCATCAGATTTCTGGGCCCCTTCTCTGGAGATTGATTCCGCAGGTCTCAGGAGGGCCCCCATGTGATTCTCACCCCAAGCCAAGCTTGGAACCCAGTGCAATGATTCAAATTCAATCCCCAGAAGCAATGTGTTGGGCCAATTACAGAAAAATCTCATTGATACTTGTAAAGTGAGACCAATAATACCTACTTCACAAGATTACTGTGATGATTAGAGTTAAAGCGGAACACAGGACCTGACAATTGGTAAAAAGTCAAATTGTTGTTGCTGTCGTTATTTGCC